TGGCCAGCACGGGCAGCGAGTCCAACTTGTGCTCCCCCTCGGCCGGGAATCGCGACTTCTGTCGCGACACGGGTGGGAGGGTCAGCTCACGCCAGGCCACCCCCGACCCGCGGGAGGGGAGCGGGGACGTCGCGGGGGTCGCGGGGGTGACTCGGGGGGGTCGCGGGGGTCGCGTGACGGGGGGAGGTACCCACGAGGAGCTCGAGGAAGGCCTTGGTGTCACCGAGCAGAGCTTTGGCGAGGTTGATGACGCTGTCCAGGTCCCCACGCGTGTCCGTGGGCGGGGGGCGCGGGCGGGGGGCGAGCGCCAGCCCCGGGCCCGGCCACAGCCCCGGCCACAGCCCCAGCAGCGCCAGCAGCGCCCGCCACGGAGCCCCTGCGGGACACGGGACACGCGTGGGGCACAATCCCGGGATTTGGGGGCGTCCCGGGACTCCCGGGGCTCGGGATTGCGGGGATGGGAGATCCCGGGAGTCCCGAGCTCCCGCCGAGGTGGTTCCTGCTTTTCCCGGGACCCCCGGGACCCCCGGAGCTGGAGGATCTCGGTGTTCCCGGGACTCCGGGAGCTGCGAGATCCCGGGAATGCCGGGGGTGAGGATTTCGGGGCTCCGGGACTGCGGATTTTGGGGATCGCGGTCTTCCCGGGAAGGTCGGGGATGTGGATCACGGGGATCCTCCGTCTCCCGGGATTCGGGGATTCCGGGGATTTGGGATCCCGGCATTCGGGGGTCCCGCTGCTCCCGGGATTGTCGGGGCTGCCGGGAATGGGGCTCCCTCCTGGGATTTGGGGCTCCCTCCTGGGATTTGGGGCGCCGTCCTGGGATTTGGGGCGCCATCCCAGGATCGGAGGGTCTGCGGCAGCCGGGGCTGAGCGATCCCGGCGCTGCCTCCCGGTGTTCCCGGGAATTCGGGGCTCCCGGGGCTCAGGAATCCCGACACTCCTGGGATCGCTGCAATCCCGGGATTCCCGGKGCTGGGAGATCCCCGAAATCCCGGTGCTGGGGATGCCGAGGCTCTCAGAATTTGAGGATCCTGGAATTTGGG